GGTCTTGGGATCACAACGACAAAAGAGCTGACTGAAACACTGAGCCCATTAGCAGGCAGAGGTCTAAGTAATAGAAATGCTCTATTCATGAGTTGGTTGTGATGGGACATTTAAATGAAACAAGTTTTAGCCACACTATGCAACATCATTTTATAGTTTTCACAAACTAGGCTGTACATTGGAARCACTAGGAGAGTTTTTAAAAAATTCAGATTTTTGGAGTCCTCACTTTGCAAGCCCCTTCTTCCACCAGTGAATGAGAATCTCTTAGTGGTAGGACCCAAGAATCAGCATTTTTATAAGAATCCCAGTAGATTATATTGTGACAGGCATTTGGGAACCACTCCTAGACAGGCCTAGAATGCCAAACAAATATATCAATAGAAGAGGGAAGTTAGTCATAAATGCAGAACATTCCTACAGATCACATACACAAGTTCTTTTAACAGAGCAATGCCTGTTTTCTTCAAAAATAGTTTTATTTTTTCTAGATATAAAAATCTGAGATATTACCTTTTTTTTTAAAGAGAGAGTGAGAGAGAGAGGGAAAGAGAGAGAATTTTAATATTTTTTTTTTTTTTTTTTTTTTTAGTTCTTGGTGGAGACAACATCTTTGTTTGTATGTGGTGCTGAGGATCGAACCCGGGCCGCACGCATGCCAGGCGAGCGCACTACCGCTTGAGTCACATCCCCAGCCCCAAGAGATATTACCTTTTTAAAAGCTTCATTTCAACATGTAGCCTTTCAGAGTTTTTGTATGCCATGCACACAAAATATTTTTTTTGTCTTACCAAAACAGAAACACAGAGTATATGCACTATTTTTCAGTCTGTTCCATTCAAGTAAAAGTAGATCATAAATGTTTCTCTATTGCAGTAAAGGCAAGTCTACACAATTTTCAATGACAATTTCCAATCTATAAATGAACTACAACTAGCCCTGTATTATTGAACATTTTTTTTCTCCTTGGGTAATGTTTAATAATTGGGATTATTGGATCAAAGTTTATAAACATTTTAAGGATTTTGATACACATTATCAAATAGCTACCTGCCCTTCTCCTGAAATTTCTATGAATTTACAGTCCCACTAGAAATATTTGAGAGTACCTGTCTTCCCGCACCTGCAGTGAACTGGCTGTGATTTGAATTTTATTTTATCCAAATTGTACATACCCCTTTACAGTAAAACTTATTTTTAAATTGACTACATGATTACAATAAAGACCTTTCATGCAGTAAGTTAAATGGTTCATAACTTACCTGTTTAGATAAAAGGGAGGAATTAAGAAGATTGCATTTTCTATAGTTTTCAAAATGTGGAAAAACTAGGTGTAGAACCTAATGTGTACCAACTACTCAAATGAAAAAGGGAATCATTGTGAAGTTCTGTTACAAGGACAGTAGAGATAAAATGGCCATAAAATCTTATCTAAGGCATGTTCAACAGCYTTGGATTTGGCAAATAGTTAATTAGCAGAGCAAGTGCTTATTTCTGGCATAAGATCTCTGAATGCTACAGATTAAAATGGCACAGTGGCTGGGTGCAGTGGTGCACATCTGTAATCCCAGTGATTTAGGAAGCTAAGGCAGGAGGATCACAAGTTTGAGATCAACCTCAGCAATTTAGCAAGACCCTATCTCATAATAAAAATYTAAAAGGAGGTATAGATCATCGATAGAGCAGTTGCCTAGCATATATAAGGCACTGGGCTCAATTCCCAGCACTTCCAAAACCAAACCAAACCAAACCAAAACAAAAGACACAGTGATTATAATGAGATATCTCTTCACACTTATTAGGATAGCTTAAATAAAAAAGTAACAAATATGTTTTCTAGAATGTGGAGAAATTTGAGCCCTCATGCACTGCTGGTGGGACTGTGAAATATTATAGTCACTTTGGAAAGTAGTCTGGCAGTTCCTCAGCAAGTTAAAGAGAGTTTCATTTGACCCACCAATTCCAGTATTTATATACCCAAGAAAATGAAAAGACTATATCCACACAAAAACATATACGAATGGTCACAACAGCCAAAGAGTATGTACAACCTAAACGTCCATAGCTGATAGATGAATAAATAAAATGTGGTATGTCTATATATCTATATAGTGGAATAGTATTCATCCATAGAAGGAACAAAGTATTGATACATGCTACAACACAGATAAACCTTAAAAGTATCATGCTAAGTGAAAGAAGACGGGAACAAAAGATCACATGGTGTATGACTGCATTTAAAAGAGATGTTTAGAATTGGCAGGCTTATGGTAACAGGATGTTAGTAATTGCCAGGGCATGGAGGAAAAGAAAAAATGGGAAGGGACTGCTAATGGGTATATACTTTTCTTTATAGAGTCATGAAAACATTTTGAAATTAGTGGTGGTAACTGTGAACATGCTTAAAATACTGAATCGTACACTTTAGAGGGTGAATTTTAAGGCATATGAATTATATTTATATATATTTTTGTTATAGAGCAGAATAGTCTCATGGGAATAAGGATCTGACTAAAGAAGGGACCAGATTCTGAAAAGGACTCGAGTGCTTTTTGAGTGGATTTGAGTGTCTGCTATCCCATTAACCTAAAATGGATTGTCACATTAAGTTATTTCCCTTAAAGACCAAACCTGGAGAACCTAACTATTCTACCAGCTTTGTGATCAATTTTACTACGGCCTCCTTGCCAAATTAAATGACATATCTGTTGGGGATCACACAGTGGATACTGGTGCAAACTGTGCCTTTGGCTTCTCAGTTCCTSTATTCCCTGTGAAGAGTCAGCCTGCAGAAGCATTTCCTCTGGCTTAGTGATCACTGCCACAAGAACTTTGCCTTTCTTCCATGGAAAATGATACATTCCAGGGACTTTGGAGTGGAGAAAAATGATAAACCAGTCAGAGATGGTGTTTACAATTAGCATTTTTCTTCTCATTAAGCAGGATTTATTATAACAAAGCATATGCTTTATTAAAAGGCAATTTTAGTTTCAGAGCATTAATATTAAAAGTCTCCCAGTCCTTTCTGCCTGATTTTCAAGTCCCCATGTAATAAGCTCCCAGACATTTTTGTCTACTCAGTGTTTCTATTATAATCACTTGAGTCCCTTGACCTGGTCCATARGGCCTGGGGCCTTCACTCAGATTTTTATAGGTTCTTGGAATCACCTCCTCCCTCCCACTCATTCTTCCAGTCCTACCCATCCCACCACATTAGTGCCAATCTCACCACCTCCTCAAAGCTTTCCCCTTACTAGTCTAGGCCACACTGATATTTGCTTCTTGGAACAAATGTGTCACATGTTAAGTCTTTCCCCACCAAATTGTCAGGTCAGAGTTATCTGTACTGTTATACCACAGTTTCACTGGATTTATTCTATAATATCCTATTCATTTTTCTTTTTTKGGGGGGGGTCTGGGTATGGAACTCAAGGGTACTTTACCACTGAACTACATCCCCATCCATTTCTATTCTCTATTTTGAGGCAGGGTCTAAATTTCATAGGCTGGCCTTGAACTTGGTATCTTCCTGCCTTAGCCTCCCGAGTAACTGGGAAACTGGGATTACAGACATACACCATTACGCCCAGCATTATATTCAATTCCTTACACTAAAATACTTAAAGTTTAAAATAATTAGATTTAATGAGGTAGCTTCCATAAAATTTTTACTTTAATTACAAGAATAGCACGAGTCTACTACAGGCCCATGCCTTTTTATGCTATCAAGTTCTCTATTATATTTCTAAACCAATTCCTCTCCACTCAGATATTACCTTTTCAGGAGTTTTATCTGCAAGCCAGAATCTCTGGTTTGGCCAGGTAGTCAGGGCTCTTTGTAAGGTACCTTATGCTTATAAAAATAGATTTCATGCTGAACCCACCACTACTGTCACTGGCATAAAATTGGGGTCTTCAGAGAATATCTACCAGGAAAAGATTCCAAATCCCTTCATTCATATGCTATTGTGCTAATTTAAAAWTTTTTTTTTTTTACTTGTAGATGGATATAATACCTTTATTTTGTTTTTTTATGTGGTGCTAGGAATCAAACCCAGTGCCTCACGCATACTAGGCAAACACTCTACCACTGAGCCACATCCCTGGACCACTATTGTGCTAATTTATGAAAGTTTTCTTTTCTTTCATAAACCTCATACACACAAAAGCAATCATCATGAAGCTCATCCCAGGGCTGTTAGCTTCTGTGCTGCTAGACTTAGTGCAACAAAGTTCTCACTTTTATTTCTCCTCACCACAGTGAAGGGAAGGAAAGAGCAGAAATGAATGGTAAGGTCATTTGCCAGTGGAAACRGGAGCTGGCATTCCAACATGCACTTTGGAAACTGAACAGAAAGAATTGCTTTCTCCACTCATCCCTGGGTAAAGGGTGTGGCCAGACTTTGGCAGAGGAGCCAGACAAATGCACAGCCAGCAGTTTTCTGGCCTTAACAGTCAGCTCCTMTGAAGTCCAGACGGTAGCCACTCCTGAGTTCACTCTAGGTGACAGTAGGAGTGCATTTCTCTTCCTGTTGGGCCTGACTGTGCCTGCACGCAGATGGATGAAGATCTTGCAAACCTGCAGTGAGGCAAAACACAGTGGAAAGGGTTGAAGGAGGACTGTTTGTCTCTCCAGCTTGACAAGTAGAGAAGAAAATATTTTTATCAGATGATGAAGGAAATATTTTATTGCTTTTCTAAAATACCTTCTATACAACAATTCCATCATTTAGGAATAGAGTATTATCCCAAACACTCTTCTCTAGTAATGAGTAGGTAGGAATTTATTTAGCCAAGATAAGTAGGCTGCCTCAGAGCTTCCCATAGGGAAAACTGAAAATCTGATTATTATTATTATTTTTTGGTACCATGGATTGAACTCAGGGGTATTTGACCACTGAGCCACATCCCAGCCCTATTTTGTATTTTATTTAGAAACAGGGTTTCACTGAGTTGTTCTTTGCATTGCTGAGGCTGGCTTTGAACTTGTGATCCTCCTGTCTCAGCCTCCTGAGCCACTGTGATTACAGGCATGTGCCACCACACATGGCCTGATTATTCTTTTTCTTCACGTAGTCTCTAGGTTGAAAATCCCTAGTAGAAAGAGGCACAGGATAAGGATGGGAGACACTGAGCACTTTTGAGAGTCTACCCCTCTGCTGAATGCCACTTTGAAGGGAAAGAAAAAGTCGAATGGCAATTTCCAGTCCATTCTAGGTTGGCCCCTTGGAGGCTCTGGCTTCTGGGTAATGTCCACAAAGTTCACAAGAGTTGTCAAATGTACATCTGTTCCTTGATGGGAATCCTATAGGAAGAAAGTCAATGACACTTTAGTATTCAATAGCCATTCACAAAGTCCTCCAACTTGGCTCTTATAATTTTCCCTGAAGACAGATCCCAAACAAATGCTGTAAGCAAGATTCACCTTTTTCTCACATTGGTTGTATGTAATTCTCTTTTTTTGTGAGACACAAGGAAATGAATTTCATAGAAATAGTCCATGACACTAGAACTATGAACAGTTATACCTACATAAAGACTGACTCTAGCTGACTCCATTTGGGAGCTGCCTGATATCAGAGAGGCCAGATGACAATTCTACAGCTGTTACGTGCTAAGCAGCTCTACCCTATCAGGTCCCAGAAGGCTGCAGGCTCTGAAAAAGCACACATATGCAAGTGGAAAGAGTATAAAAAGGTGAAATTTCATATTAGAAAGAAGGTAAAATTTTAAGGAAAAAGCAAAGAGCTCAGTAATGTAGATAAAAAACAAAACAAAACCCATCAGGTTCACACTCTTGGGTTCAAAAGAAAGAATCCTCCCAATCACACACCAGTTCAACTCAAATAAGATGGATATTCCCAGGGGAAAGGATGTTGTCAGGCTGATGTAAATATCTGATCTAACAGACATAGCTTTTGGTTGATTATGGCTGCAGCTGATGATGTCAAACATTGGTATCATGTTTACCTAAAATGAATTCATTTTTTTTCTCACTCTGTGCTTACCAAGCAAACTTCTGATTATAATTTGACAGAAATAACTACCTTGTGGAACCTAAAATGAAGAGTTTGTCATTTATTTTCCATAACTGTGATGCACTTTTCATCCACTGTTGTCTCTGAAAACAGTAAGCACCATGCTCTAGAAATATGATTTTACTTGGAATCACCTTTGTAGGGACTTCATTTATTTATTTTTGTTTGTTTTAAAATGGGTGTAGAGTCAGAGCTGTGATAATCTTACATGTCATATTGATTCCTTGTTCATTTGTTTTTAAACAGTGAGGGTCACTAGAAACTTGTCATAGAGCCAATGTAACTTCTGAGATGTTCAACCACACACATTTCAAGGACAACCAGTCTGGGAGGATGTTGCCAAGGGAATCCTGATATCAACCAAGTATCAAAAATTGGCTGAGACTAACCAAAGAAAATTAGATGTTTTAGGTAGTAAAGAATAAGTAATAAACATTCTTTGGATTTTAACTTACAAAAGGATTTAGGGTTAAGACTTTTAATATTTCCCCAGAAACTTTATAATGAGAAGAAGATACATATTCAAATTTTGGAGCAAATATGACATTGAAGCATGATAAGAGTGTTACTTTATTTCACTGTAGAATACTTGATGAACTACGGTGGTTAAGAAATACTTTGAGAAGGGGAATAGAACATGGAAAGAATTTACAGTTTGGGTTCAGTATTGTCTAGGATTTGACTGATTTCATGTGCTATTCAGACTCATTTCAGCAGGAGGAGGGTGATCTTTTTTTTTTTTTTTTTGGTGATGGGGATTGAACCCATGGCCTTGTGCATGCAAGGCAAGCAGTCTACCAACTGAGCTATATCCCTCCAGCCTAGGAAGGTGAATTTTTATTTGGCTACAGAAGAATACTCTGCAGAGCTATAATTGGAATTGGAATAGAGGCCTGATGATGGAGGAGTGCCGTATTGCATTAAGAAGCCTACTGCTACATACCCAAGGCATATCCATGTACCTGTATTTATAAGTAACAAAACTGTTATGTTAATCTCTACTTTTCTGACTCCTTTAAAAATATTTAAAAATTAAATTGACACATAATAATTGTACATATTTATAGAGTATATGTTTCTATGCATATGTGTAATGTATAATGATCACATCAGAGTAATAGGAATGTTCAAAATCTTCTGTTTTAAAATGTACAATAATTGTTGTTATCTGACTCCTTATTTTAATCAGTTTCAGAATGAGGCAGGGGAAAGAGTGTCTTTATCCTCCTCAATTTCCCAACTCAGGGAATTTCTGAAGACTTGAGGCCAGCCTATACTCAGAAATGACTATAAGAGATAATGACAATCCCAAGAAGCAAAGTAGGCCCAGGTCTACTCAAATATATAGTATCAAATCCACAGTGGTGTTTTGATGGCTAGAAACTTCACATAACAAAAATGTTTGAACAAAGTTGTTCTTTCAGATTTACCCAGAATATATGCTCATCACATGCTACTACTAGGCAGCAGTATAGACACATGTCTTTTCCCTCTGTACCTCAAAACTACTTTAATCCAATGAGAGGCAGATACAAAAGTTCCACTGGGGAGTCAAGACAACATAGGAAAACAGAAACAAGAAGGAGGCAAGGTTTCACAGGGGGAATGAAGGCTACCCAAAAGTCCTCAGAGACCAGACTCATGTGGCTCTTACACCCCTTAATGACTCTATAAGAGATAACAGGGAAGCAGGGATGAGCTGAAGGATATCTCCTCCATGCAGTCAGGCAAACTATCCTTTGCCCACCTCAACAAGAGACTGGACAATTTAAGCAGAGAAATTCTGGACTTAGGGATACTAGGCATAGAGGACAGAATGAGGTATGGAACTAAAAATAGGAGAATTATCATGAATCATAAAGCCTCTTTCCTTATCTAGCTCCAAAATATTGATAGATTGTTTTAGACTAGAGAGATTTCTTTGGAACAAATTAATAGTTCCAGCAAAGACACAAGGATACTAACATTTAGTAGTCTCACAACCCCAAAACAACTGTACTCACACCTAATTGCCTTACAATGAAGGCCAAGTAGTAAGCCTAATCCATGATTACTACTAAGTTTTCAAACAGCTCAACAAGCTGCTTGCTCTTACCTTGGGTAAACAGCTAGAGTTGACAAATGTGGGGAAACCCGCCTTTCAAATTAAAGAGGAAAAACTATAAAATGAACAGAATAAAAAAAGGAAACAGAGACCATGAAAGATGAATATGCAAAATTGTCAGTATCTTCAAAGATATGTAAGAAAAAGATATACTTTTTATTATAGAAAAGATTTCAGAATGGATAGATAGCTCAGTGAGAGAGTGCTTGCCTAACATGCTTAAAGCCCTGCTTCATCTCTGCACCAAAAAGAAAAAAGTCAGTAAAAATGTTAATCAGAAAATGTTAATCAGTAAACTGTGAATCTGTTAACACAAGTAAGTTAACAGGAAAAAATGTTTTCTAGGAAGAGCAAAAAGATAAGAAATAGACAAGGAAAACTATTTGGAGAATCAGTCTAGTGTCCCTATAACCCATTTATAAGAGTTCCAAAAACAACAGAGCAAGTAGTAAGAAATAAATTATTAAACATTTAATAATAACTAAAATCGCAGAACTGAGTTCCCAGAATTTAAAAAAACCCACAAATTATTCAAWGTAATGATGAAGAAAAGACCTACCCCCAGGCTTATACTGTGGAAGTTTCAGACTAACAGGAATAAAAAGAACCTAAAATGGCTTCTAAGCTGTTCTGTATAGTATTAGAACTAAAAGATAGTGGAAGAATGTCTTCAAAATCCCGAGTAAAAATAATTTTCAATCTAGAATTTTGTATCTAACCCAATAATCAGTTAGGCATCATGATAAGGGTTGAATAAAATAATTTTTAGACATATAAACTCATGAAAAAATGTACTTTCCATGAATCCTTGTTCAAAGAGGCTATCAGAATTGGAACTCTACCAAAATAAGACAGTAAGCTAAAAAGAGGGGGAAAAAGTAGCACCCAGTTAACTGTGAATCTGTTAATACAAGTAAGAAATCAGAATAATCCTAAGATGGCAGTAAAGAGAAGTTCCATGACATTTCTTGGGCAGCAACGAGTCCACATTACATCAGGTTATGAAGGGAATATATGGGAAAAGGTGGAAAAGATAGATTATATGGCAAGTTCACCTGTTTTGAAAACTGCATTGAGAGAAATTTACACAGCTGCTGTTGGTAGAGTACAAGAAGTGTTAGCTATTAGCTTAAAGAAAGCTAAGAATAAAATATGAGCTAAGTATAATATCAGGAAAAATAGAAGGTTTCACAAAAATTGAATTATTTGGCTTAGCATGAATATTCACTAATCATAATAATGAAACACTGAATATTGGTATAATAAAATATTTAATGTAACTAGATTGGGAGAGTGGTGGGGGAGTAGGAGGAAAGTAACAGATGCTTCAGGAATTAACTAAGTACATATATTGTTTAGAAATTAAGGTAAATACCAGAATAAACAGGAAAAAGACTTAAATGGGTATAGTAAATTCTGGAGAGCAGGATGGTAAGGGGTGACATGGCACTTTATTTTTAAGAGATTCTCTAGTCTGGCTTTTTGTTGTTGTTTTACTTGTAAGGAGACTTTTATATTCCTTCACCATTGAGTCATTGTTAAATGGCCATTTGGGAGTGAATATTCATTCCCAGGTACTTTGCAGGCAAAAAAAAAAAAAAAAAAGGAAGAAAGCCTCAGGCATACCCACCAAAAATGGAAGGCTGATGAACATACAAGATTTACTACAAAAAGCAAAATTACATTTGAGGAGAGTCAACAGGATATCACATTTAAGAAATAAAAGAACTAGATGAAATGCCCCAGTTAACAACTTACTTATCATCTTTGATTCTTTCCCCCTTGACCCCCATATCTAAGAAATCAAATCCACCTGTGGCACCCCTACATCTTTTGAGTTCTAACTATGGCCTTCACAGTTCCACTTGGGTCCAGGTCATCCCTCTTGATGAATTTCCACAGCAGTGTTCTAAAGCCTCCCCTTCAGTATTGCCTCCCAGCTTCTAGGATGATATCTATCTCATTCATTGCTCTAGCTCTAGGTATGCATGGTTCTTGGTTGAAAATAGGCACTCAAGAAAGATTTAAAAAAAAATGGTGGAAATATTTTTGAAGGTGGGGAACTAATGTAAAATAACAAGAGATTTAAAAACCACAAGATAAAACAAGAACAAAACCCCCACAAGATAAAAATCATGTGTCATGGCTATTTAAAAGTAAGCA